AAAAAAAAAAAAAAAGAAAAGAAAGAAAAAAGAAAAAGAAACCAACCTCAAAACACTCCCACTGGCCAAAGCTGGAACAATACAAGCAACAAGATAATGCTAATACTGAATTATAATCCAAAGTATAAAATAAACATATAGGAGTCCATACCATATAAATAATTGAATAAGTAAGTAAATGAAAGAACAGCCAAATCTTTCACAGAATTTCAAATATATGTCAATATTCTCCTCTTTACTACCCCTCTACCTGTCAGCCAGGTGGAGCCAACCTAATCACATGAGTTCTTAAAGCCAGAGAAACTTTTCTAACTGTAGTCCGGGGAGACGTAATTAAGGAAGAGTCAGAGAGTTGTATTTTATTGGCTCTGAAGACAGAGAACTGGGGCTTTAAGCCAAGAAATTTTGGTGTTCTATAGTAGTTGGAGAAGGCAAAGAAACAGATTTACCACACAGCTTCTATAAAAAAATACAGCCCTGCCTTGGCGCCTGTGGCTCAGGTAGCTAAGGCACCAGCCACATACATCTAAGGTGGCGGGTTCAAATCCAGCCTGGTCCCGCCAAAACAACGACGGCTGCAACCAAAAACAAAATAGCTGGGCGTTGTGGCAGGCACCTGTGGTCCCAGCTACTTGGGAGGCTCAGGCAAGAGAATCGCCTAAGCCCAGGAGCTGGAGGTTGCTATGAGCTGTGACACCCACAGCACTCTACCAAGGGTAGAGGGTGACAAAGTGAGACTCTGTCTCTAAAAAAAAGAAAAGAAATGCAGCCCTGCTGACACCGATTTTAGCCCCCTGAGACTCATGTGGAACTTCTGACATACAAAATTGTAAAATAATAAATTTGTGTTGATCAAGCCACTAAGTTTGTGGTAAGTTGTTACAACAGCAATAGGAAACTAATACAAACACATTTTATCACCCCCTGGTGTAAGGACAGTGGACAACTTACTACGCAAAGATGGTACCATTATAACCACTCATGCAAGATTCCACAATGCTTTTAGCCACAGTTGAGAACACAGACTCCTACAAATGTAAGCAACAAAAATGTTAATATATCATAAAAACAAAAACGTTTTTCCTAAACTCTACAACAACAAAAATTCAGTGTTTCCATTTTTTTAATCACTTGTGATAATATGAAGATTACATCCACTAGCGAGAATGGCTAAAACATCTAAGATGACAAAACTTTAAACATAACCAAGTCCACTAGTCTCTTATACACTTATAAATTTAAGGCACACATCTAAACCTTATATAGAATTTTGTATAGCATATTGCATGCATGTATTATACTGGTATTAGCATAAAATACATAGCCCTATATGGAGTGTCCAAAGGTCACCATAAATAGAAAAATTAACAAACTCATATATTTTTTCTATTTAAATTCCAACACATAGAGAAATAGTCTATAAATATTTTATATAATTTCATAATGAAAGGTACATTTACCTACAAATTCCCATTTTCCATACGTATGTATGTATGTATGGTAACCATTGGGATATCCTAAATTTTCTTCAGTCATTTTTCTGCTAAGTTTGTACAAAAGAATCAGTATCTGGTTTTTATGTTCATTTCTACATATAAATACATAAAGTCTTATCAATAATGCAAGAACTTCTAAACCTACATCGTCCAATTCAGTAGCCGTTACCCACATGTGACTATTGAGTACCTAAAATGCTACTAGTCCAAATTGAGATGTGCCATAAGTATAAAATACGTACCAGATTTGGAAGACTGAGTATTAAGAAAATGGAAAATATTTCATTAATAATTTAACTTTATATTGATTACATGTTGAAATGATATTTTTGCTGTTTGTTTTTTATCTTTCTCTAATTTTCTCATTTTTTCTTTTTTCCCTTATTCCATGGTGATGCCTGAACCACAATGAAATGATATTTTGGATATATGGAGTTAAATAAGATATATTATTAAAATTAATGTATTATATTATTAAAATAAAATAAATGTCCTTTTTACTTTATTTTTTGAGAGAGAGTTTCTTTTTGTCACCTTCGGTAGACTGTGGTGGCGTCATAGCTCACAGCAACCTCAAGCTCTTGGGCTCAAGCAGTCTTCTTGCCTCAGCCTCCTAAGTAGTTGGCACTACAGGCACTTGCCACAGCATCAGCTATTTTTTAGAGACGGGCTCTGGGGTCTTGCTCTTGCTTAGGCTAGTCTTGAACTCCTGAGCTCAGGCAATCCAGCCACCTCACCCTCCCAAGTGCTGGAATTACAGGTGTTTATTTTTAATGTGGCTACTAAAAAATTTCAAGTTACATACGTAGCTCACTTTATATTTCCATTGGCCAGCAATGTGCCAGATAAAAAGAAAAAAGATCTAAAGATCTAAATGTCTCACCAAAAATACTCATGTATATAGGGAGAATAATAAAGATCTGTGATGTTGAATACAGTAGCCATTAGTTACATGTGGCTATTTAAATTTAAATTAATTTTAAAAAACTTAATTAAAATTAAACAAAATGTAAAAGTTAAGTGCTTCCCACATACTAACCACATTAAAAGTACTTAATAGCCATATGTGGGCCAGATGTGGTGGCTCAGTCCTGTAACCCTGACACTCTGGGAGGTGGAGGCAAGTGGATTGCTTGAGCTCAGGACTTCAAAACCAGCCAGAGCACGAGCAAGACCCCCCATCTCTACTAAAAAATAGAAAAACTAACCAGGCATAGTGGTACACCCCTATAGTCCCAGTTAGAGGATGAGGCAAGAGGATCACTCAAGTCCAAGAGTTTGAGGTTGCTATGAGCTATGATGCCACTGCATTCTAGCCAGGAACTCAAGCCAGAGTGAGACTGTCTCAAAAATAAATAAATAAGGCTCTAAACCTGTAGCTCAGCCACATACACCAGGGCTGGCAGTTTCGAACACGGCCCAGGCCTGCTAAACAACAAGGACAACTGCAACAAAAAAAATAACGAGGTATTGTGGTGGGTGCCTATAGTCCCAGCTACTTGGGAGGCTGAGGCAAGAGAATCACTTAAGCCCAAGTGTTTGAGGTTGCTGTGAGCTGTGATGCCACAGCACTCCATGGAAGGACTCTGTCTCAAAAAAATAAAATAAATATTGAAAAAAATAAAAATAGCCATATGCAGCTAGTGCATCTAAAGCACTGAATTTTTAATTTTAATTATGGTTACATGGGGCTAGCTAGAGGCTACAGTAAAGGGATAGCACCAATATGGAACATTTCCCTCATTGCAAAAAGTTCTATTATATATCACTAACTAGATATTTATTAAACCATTCTTAATTAGAAAAGTAGTTACTGACATCAGAGTAATCTTATATCCTTAAACTAGGCAATTCAACTGTACTTATCAATCATTCATGTGGCTCAGAAAAGTACATGTTCACAAACCTCCATCACTGAATGGAAAGGGAAAGTAGGACAAGCTTGTGTCATTCTGGTACACAATTAGAAGAAAGAAGAATACCATTCAATAAAATTAGACGTAAAATATTATGGAATGTTTGAGCTTCCTAATCTGAGATCTCCCAAACTTATAAGAGACCAGAAATAAAATCCTTGCAAATAACAAAGCCTTCCAAGTAAAAAGTTAAGTTTGCAGTTACCATTACCTGAGTGGTATCCATGTTTGCAACATGATCAAACGTGAAGATCTTGGGTTCAGGGTTAGAGTGCAGCCGGAGACTCACGGAAGAGAGCACAGACAAGCATAAGCTTTGCTCTCCATCAGCTGACCCAGAACCTTCTGCAAGTGGACGAATTCGCACAAAAACTTTGATGGCATCACCTTCATTGCTAAAGATAAAATCATGTAACAGTGAAGTTTATTGGAGAAAAGAAAACTGAACAAGGACATGAGTCTCATATTGCCTCTAATGTTTCTATAATGACTGTTTCTCCAACAAAGCCGAAGAATTACCCCACTTAAATTTGCCTCTTTTAAAAGACCCACTCCCTTTACTGATTTACTTCACAGTAAAGGGTTGGTAAAAGGTGATGGCACCTTCACAACTCAAAGGGAGTTCATTTCAAGGGATTCCAAAGACTGCTTGTCTCTCATTTCTGTCTTATCAGCAATTAAAAAAGTAAGTCACCGCAGGGAAAATTATGCTATTGATAGCTTGGAAAGTGAGAGGGCAGGAAAGGTCTGTGATTTTCCTGTATTTCCAGCTGGCAGAGGACCAAGGTACACTGTGACACAAGTACCCTTTACTATGTTAAATGGTTGTTTTAAGAGTACTACATCTCGGCTCAGCGCCTGTGGCTCAAGTGGCTAAGGCACCAGCCACATTCATCTAAGGTGGCGGGTTTGAATCCAGCCCAGCTCGCCAAACAACAATGACGGCTGCAACCAAAAAAAAATAGCCAGGCGTTGTGGCAGACACCTGTAGTCCCAGCTACTTGGGAGGCAGAGGTGGAAGCAGGAGACTCGCTTGAGCCCAGGAGTTGGAGGTTGCTGTGAGTTGTGATGCCACAGCACTCTACCTAGGGGAACAGCTTGAGGCTCTATCTCAAAAAAAAAAAAAAAAAAGAATACTGCATCTCTAATTCTTTGAGGTTCATCAACAAGATTTTTTTTCTTACCTGGGCTGGTTAGACTGACAATTTGTCACATTGCGTAACTCAGCTAGAAAATAAAAAAGATAAAAAGTAATGAGAACTGCAATATAGAAATGCTACTTTTCTCTAACATGCTCCTCAGTTGCTGACATGCCTGTTTCCTCAGATCTCGGAAGGCATCCCTGGGGTGCTCCAGGACCCTAGCTTTGATCATATTCTCTGCTGATGACATCTAATCTTTCAGTTTTAAATGCTAATACCTATTCATGAGTGCCTGAGCAGCTCAGGACTGTTTGCCTGAGCCTCACCCTTATATCTAATTGTCTAATTGGTATCTCCAATTGGATGTCCAGTGGGCAATGTTTCAAATTTAATGTGTCTAAACCTGAGCTCCTGATAACCCTACCCTCAAAGCCCCAAATGTGCTTCTCCACCAGTTAATGACAACTCCATCTTTCCAACTGTTTGGGCTAAAAACCTTACCATCCGCTCAGCGCCTGTGGCTCAAGTGGCTAAGGCGCCAGCCACATATACCTGAGCTGGCAGGTTCGAATACAGCCCGGGCCCGCCAAACAACAATGACAGCTGCAACCAAAAAAAGCCCTGCGTTGTGGTGGGCACCTGTGGTCCCAGCTACTTGGGAGGCAGAGGCAGGAGACTTGCTTGAGCCCAGGAGTTGGAGGTTGCTGTGAGCTGTGATGCCATGGCACTCTACCCAGGGAGACAGTTTGAGGCTCTGTCTCAAAAAATAAAAAAATAAAAATAAAGAAAGAAAACCATACCATCATCCCTGACTCCATCCTTTCTCAGTCTCCATATCCAATCTGTCTGAAAATCTTTGGTTCTACCTTCAAAATATTCCAGAATCCTACAACTTCTTGGCAAATCCATTGCCACTACCATGAAATTAAGTCACCAACCTCTCTTACTTGGATTGTTACAACAATCTCCTTATTCTCTCATTCTCTGAGCCCCATCCATACTCAACCTAGCAGACAGAATGATTCTCTTAAAAAGAGAAGTCAGAGGTCAACTTCTGGCATTACGTTATGAGGAATGTCACTGACCTGCTCCCCAGTGAAACTGGTGAAAAGAAAAGAACAATTAAAGCCTCTAGAAATGTTCTTAAATGTAAACAACAAAGAAATATCTAATCCAGAAAATCTATGAAAATTCAGTAAGAAAGGTGCTTCTGAATTATTTGAACAAAGATCACTCTCTCCCTCACAGCTCAGCAAGGTACAGATTCCACTCCAGCCTGCAGCAACCAAGAAAGAACAAAGGCATCCCTCTTCCTCTAGATCCCAACCAGAGGGTTTTCTTCCCAGGAGTAGCAGGAAGTCACAGTTTCCAATTCTGTCTCCAGCTAACTACCTGTTGCCTCAGTCAAGTGTGGTTCAGGGCTGAAGCCTCCCTTTTCCAATCAGGCCCTAATTTGTGGAACAGGGGCTCTATGTTGGATGCAGCATGCTGAGAACACTGGAATCCTAATCAACCTTGCTCCAAAGGAAAGTTGAGAAGATCCCAGGCCGTTAAACTCCCCCCATCCAGTAACAAATTCCTCAGCAACGAAAACGAGTGTGTCACTGAGAGACAAGATTGCCATTATCCCCATCCCAGCACCTAGGCTTGAAGATTTTGCTTTGGTAAGAGTCATTCCATAGGGGCAGCACCTGTGGCTCAGTGGGTAGGGTGCCAGCCCCATATCCCGGGTTTGAACCCTGCCCCCCACTAAAAGGCAACAAAAAAATAGC